TCCAGCCTAATAGCGATGGCCTCCAACCTAATAGCGATGGCCTCCAACCTAATGGCGATGGCCTCCAACCTAATAGCTATCGGCCTCCATCCTAGCAATGGTGATGGCCTCCAACCTAATAGCGATGCTTATGGCTGTGTGTGAATACTTCCAAAAAACACTGGTCACGACTGATGTCAACCATGTCAACCTTCATTGTTTTTGGCGTTCGGACGATGTTGGTTTCTGCCCCTGATAGTAGTAGCCCGGATAAGTTATTCGAAAACGATATTGTCGTTGCGCGGGGTGTCGCTATGTTTCCTTGTGCCATCCTTCAAAAACCACAGGGAAAGGATAAACGACATCACATTGAAGCTTGATTATGGGTTTTTGTGTTGGCGCATAATCATTTTAGTGAAGAGTGTCTGGAGCTGCTGCAGGTAACCACATTGGAATTCAATAGCTTCTTGGAGCGTCAATTGTGGCCGTCCTTCGATACAAGTGCGAGCCCAGCGCACCTCCTCACAATTGCTCTTCTGATCAATGAGAAGGCCAGGTGCCCTTCAATGGCCCGTTGCTATGTGCCTGTTTGACAGTTTATGGTATTGGGTTGACAGCGAAGTCTCTACACATAACCAAGTTGTTTCATAGTATGCGCAATTTATACAACAGAACAAGACGACAAGAATTGTCTGTGCAGCGTGTAACTTGATGGGGGGCAGATTTGAAGAAAGCATGCAACATCGGGCTTGGCAGGGCGATTTGAGACGTTGCAAGTTGCCAACGCTCACTTTTGGTTCCTTTAACTAGTAGCAGACGGGATGACGTTCCCGGGTTTCCGCCTACTGGCTACTCTTGGACCGACCTGAAGGATCTCGTGTTCACATGCGAAACCGGAAAGCGGAACATGCCATCTTTGAGACTGGAGCTGTCCACGCGATCTCAGGTGCAAACCACCACTAAGCCAGATACTACCAGCTAAGCTGAAGCTAAGCTGAGCCAGGTGACCTTTTAAGCCGCTTGCCGATGTAGCTCAGGCTTCAAGGTTTGACTCCGGTACTAGGAGAAAGTCTTGCAGAAAGTTTCGAAGAAATTGTTTGAATATATTTCTATAGACTGCGTAGATTGCAAATGTGAGAGCGACGGGCAGCGACGGGGGTGGTATGGATCGGTAGGTAGTAGTCCAATCCCATCACCACCGTGTTGTATTGTTTCCACGAAGAAGCTGGCGTCCTTCATTTAGATTATATTTTCCTTGGAAGAGGAGGAGTTGGAAGATGCATCCAGAGCAAGTGTTGGGGCATCGCTACTAGGGGCAAGGACGCTACTAGGGGCTCCTGGCCTTACTACTAGGAACAAGAAGCTATTAGAAACAATAAAGAAGTTTAATAAGAATTTAATTAGAGTGTCGTGTAAGAATCTATCCTCTTGTTCCTCCGGATTGTCCTTCCCGTGCAAGAGGTCATAGGGCTCGAGGGCATGCAGGTCAGACACACTCCATGATGGCAAGGAGCTTGCGCGCGAAAGCCTATTGGCCTAGTTTACATAGGGATCCTCTTTATCAAAAGGTGTTTTCATAGTACTTAACTATTTGCTAGTAGTAAAGAGGTGCCTTGCCACTAGTAGCTTCTTGTTACCAGTAGTAAGGTGCCTTGCTACTAGTAGCTATTTGCTACAAGTAGGATGAAGTATGAAGGGGATGACGGGAAAGTTGCAGCACCGGAAGAGGGAGGTGAAGGAGATCGTCAAGCAAAAGGAACTTAAGAGCAGCGCACCTGTCATCGGGAGACGGAAGGACGCGAATCGAAAAGGTCCTAGTAGATTCCTTTGCTAAGAATTATTCTAATTAAACTTAATTCATAATTCTATTTACTTTTAATTCTTTACTTTCTTCTTGTTACTAGTAGTAAGGCCCTTGCTCCTAGTAGTAAGGCCAGGAGCCCCTAGTAGCGTCAATCGGGAGAGACAGCAAGGCCTTGTGGATTGTCTCATACGCCATGACGCACCAATTGGCGGGGCGCACAAAGGAGGTTAAGAGAGTAGCGGGGGCTGCAGGAAGGGAGGTCTCGGAAGCAAAGAAATGGATGAAGGAATCAGTGTTTGGAAGAAGCTACTAGTAGCAAAGGGCATCGCTACTAGGGGCTCCTGGCATGGCATAGGTATCAAAAAAAAAATAAAAAGAGCATCAACAAAAAAATAAAAACAGGATCAAAAAAAAATAAAAAGCGAATCAAAAAATAAATATTCCTTGACAGGCCTCTTCTGCTGCTCTCCTGGCCTTGTGGTCTGCGGGTCCTCTGGTAATGTGGTCCCTTGGTCCTTTGGTCCC